ATCCGCCCTATAGCATTCCATTCCCGTAAATTAACGACAACAGAAGAAAACTACAGCACTTATGATAGGGAGTTATTAGCCATTTACTGTACAATAAAGCATTTCAGATATATTTTAGAAGCCCGACAGTTTATCATATTTACTGATCATCGCCCTTTAATCTTCGCCTTCAATAAAAAATCCGAATCTTGTTCTCCACGCCAACTTCGGCAGTTAGACTTTATCGCACAGTTCAGCACAGATATCAGACACATTTCCGGTTCGGATAACACTGTTGCAGATGCTCTTTCTAGAATAAACGCAATTAACCTTTCCACAACTGACTTAAAAAACTTAGCCGATTGTCAAAAGACTGATGAGGAACTAAAAGTTTTAATCTCTTCTAATAATAATTCAATAGATTTAAAGCCTTTCAAAATGGGAAATAATATTGAAATCTTCTGCGATGTCAGTAAGGAAAAAGTTCGTCCTTATATACCCAAGAAACTTCGCCATGAAGTATTCTGCTCATTGCACAACTTGTCGCACCCTGGTATACGCGCTATCAAGCGTCTAGTGCAAGATCGGTTCATATGGCCGTCCATGTTGAAAGACATAACAGAATGGACTCGTTCCTGCCTATCTTGTCAACGAAATAAGGTCCAAAGACACACTGTAAGTCCATTACAGCCTTTCAACCTACCTTCTGAGAGATTCCAGCTCGTGCATATTGACTTAGTTGGACCCCTTCCACCCTCTGATGGTTTTAACTATTGGCTGACGTGTGTTGATCGCTACACTAGGTGGCCGGAGGCCATCCCTCTCAGTGACGTCTCAGCGGAAACAGTATCCAAGGCCTTCGTCGCTCATTGGGTATCTCGCTTTGGAGTGCCTGCTATCTTGACTACATACCAAGGCCGACAATTTCAATCCCATCTCTTCTCCTGCCTGATGTCCATGTTTGGTATACAGCGAATCCGCACAACCCCCTACCATCCTTCTTCAAACGGTATGGTTGAACGGTTCCACCGTTCTCTGAAACAAGCTCTTCGATGCTACAACACTAAATGGACTGAATCTTTACCAGTAGTTTTACTAGGATTGCGAACTTGCTTTAAGGAGGATCTCAATGCATCTTGTGTTGAGATGGTCTATGGACAAACTGTAGTCTTACCTGGAGAGTTCTTTGAACCGCCTTCCTATGCTCCAAGTGATCCTTCAACTTATCTTTCAAAACTTAGAGAAACCTTCAGAACTCTAAAACCTACACCTGCGTCCTGCCATTCAAAATCATCATGCTTCGTACATCCAGCTTTAGAAACGTGCTCCCATGTGTTTGCAAGAGTCGATACCTTGAAACCTGCACTGTCATCACCTTATGATGGACCTTTTGCAGTTCTCCATAGAACTGAAAAACATTTCACGATCAAGAAAAATGGGAAGGAAGCCACCATAAGCATTGACCATCTCAAACCAGCTTTTCTCTTAAACACAGACTCAACAACATCAGATTACGTACTAGAGGAAAGAGTTTCAACGCCAGCAGTTTCAACTCCACAAGTTCAATGTGAGCAGGGTGACTCTTTACCTGTTATGACTCGTTCTGGAAGAAAAGTCAGGTTTAATCCTCGATACTTGTAATCACTTTATAGACTTTTATAGACTGTTTCGTACCTTTGGTACTAAGGGGGGAGTACTGTGGTGTACCTCGGCAAACACCCAGTCCCCAAGTATGTACCGCAATGGCTGATAAGATTATTGAANCAACCTACATACCTCAAAAATACCTCAAATCAACCTTAAATATACCTTAAATTTTCATAAGGGGAGGTAAATCCAGCCGGCATAACCGGTTGAAAACCCCCTCATACTCACTTCCAAACTGACTCGCGTGGAGAGAGGACTCGTTCCTCAAACCTTCTTAACCATTATCTAAATTCTTTACAATGTAAGTTTTCATTATATGTTTTTGTTGTACATTAAATTTTTCCTTAGCTTGAACTTTTTTTATTCTTCATTTATTTTTTAATTAATTTTTAATAACGCAATTTAAGTATATAGCATGTTATTCTTTGCTTTAAAGCACACACGTGCTATATTAGGTATAAATAAAATGACTTCATACACCTCAATAAATGCCTCACTCTCTTTAGTAGAAAAAAAGGTATATTTTTTTATACCTCGAAAATACCTCACTCTCGTTAGTTGAAATAAATCTGATTTTTTTATACCTCATAAATACCTCTTTTGTTACAAGTGTAAGAAGAACAACCTGGTATACCTTGGAAACTACCTCATCAGTCTGGTTGATATGAAGTGATTTTAAAACAACCTCAAAATAAGCTTAGGTATAAATAAAATTACTTCATATACCTCAATAAATACCTCACTCTCTTTAGTTGAAATAAGGTATATTTTTTTACACCTCGTGAATACCTCATTTTCGTTAGTTGAAATAAGGTTAATTTTTTTTATACCTCATAAATACCTCTTTTGTTACAATTGTAAGAAAAGCAACCTCGTATACCTTAAAAATCACCTTATCAGTCTGGTTGATATGAAGTGATTTTAAAACAACCTCAAAATAAGCTTAGGTATAAATAAAATGACTCGACTCCATATACCTCAATAAATACCTCACTCTCTTTAGTTGAAACAAGGTAAAAAAAATTATACCTCAAAAATACCTCTTTTGTTACAAATGTAAGAAAATAAACTTGGTATACCTCAAGAATCCCCTTATCAGTGTGGTTGATTTGCAGTGAATTTTAAACAACCTCAAAACAAGCTGAAGTGTATATGAAACAACCTCGTACAACTTAATTACAACCTTTACGATGTATAATTTTTATTGCTGTTTTCCCTGCAACCTTAAATATACCTCAAATATACATCAAATCAACTTTAATACCTCAAAAATACCTCAAATCAACCTTAAATATACCTTAAATTTTCGTAAGGGAAGTGTTTCATAACTATTCTTTTTTCAAAAGATCAATTCTTACGTTTTGAAATGACAAGTCTTTAAATGACGATTCCTATTACTATTATTCTTTTAAACACACATAATAAATCAGGTAACAAATCCACGTACACAAGAAATGCTACTTAAGAGAGAACAATGATCACGTTGTGAGCCAAATGTCTTCAAGACACACCAAAAACAGTGGCCCGGAAGTATGGATGGTGTTCTCAATAAAAATGTAGGCAATAACAATCTCGAGCTCGGGACCTACTCTAGTTCCGGTTAAAAAGTTTGCAGCTGCTTATTACATGTTATTCTAATAGGCGATGTTTTCAAACGGATAATTTTGTTTTCAATAAAAGAATTAAACTAGAAAGTTTCTGAGCTCAAATCTGCCGTGTTTCATAAGATATTAATGTTATTATGTAATTCTGGGGAGTTTGGAGTGAAAATTTGTTTAAGTTATTTCGTTATTTATTATTGAAAAAGGTGATGTGGTTGCTAGATTTTAAATAACTCGCTTTTTTGGCAGTCTTCATTTGGCCTCTTTCCATTTGTTTATTACTGTTTGTTCGTGTTGCAAGCTGTGCACCGTCTTACGTTAGTGTTAACGCTTTTAGTATTGTAAACAGTATTGTTAGCATTGTAAACATAAGTAATTAGTAATCAAATGCATTGTTTGCAAGAATCTCAAAACACAATGATGCCAAATGGCTTTAAAGTGCAACTGAAACAGTAACCCGGAAATTCAGGCAGTCCCGAGCTTGCAGCGCTCCCTAGTGTAGAAAACACCATCCATAGGCAGTCAAGAGATTGCAGCGCCCCTTAGTGTAAAAAACACCATCTATACATAGACCCAGTCACCACGAAAGTTGCGATCGCAAATAAACAATAAACAGTGATGTTTTGTTTACTCTCTGACTTGGTTGAGATTTTGATTTTAACAATCGACATTATGAAATTTAAAATAAAGAAATTAAATACACATTTAGGTATATTTTTAAGTAAATCTTGATTAAAGTATGAGTATTTTCATGTAATTGCATTTGATTATCATTATTTGTACAGCTATATTACAAAATAAATGAGAATGAAGCATTTTGTAGAATATAACTTTTTAATTTAAATACAAGAAAATTAAAGGCTTACAAGAAGTAAATATTAGTAGTTTGATGAATTTTTAATCTCTACTAACTATTAAATAAATAATCCTTAGGAAGTATGAAATTGTTTTTATCACGGTTTTGCATATTTTATATGAAATCGTTAAACACTAATATTGCATTTCTTCTGTGAAAACTAAATTTTGTAAAGCTGCTATTATTTATAATAAATCATTAATTTACTTTAAGTCTCAAGAAATTAATAAATTTTCCTGTTACTGAATTAATAAAGTTTTTACTAATTTTCATGTAAATGTTATTCTATTACTAAACTTGAGACCTTTGTATAATTTGCAGCATCAGTTGTTAGTTTATATTCCACAAATAGTTTTCACTTTATGTGTTTATAAAATTTTAACAAAAGAAAAGTAAATAAATACATTTTTTTAATAGTAATGTAAAATTAATTGGTGAACTTTGTCCCCCAAGTTCAGTTCAAATGGATAATTTTTCCAGAATATATATTAATCTTTTTAACCATAAAGTAAAATTAATACTTAAAAATTTTGAAAAGAACATCACACAATGCTGATTCCACAGAATATGCTTATGAAGCCATACGAAAAAGTTTTTTTTTTTAACCATAATGTAAAAGAAGTTTTAAAGAGAACTTCTATGCACAATGCAGTGTTAGTGTTTTTCTTCACTACATCACTACACTATTTAAATTTTAGCTACAGCTTAATGATATTTTTAGAAGGTATTTTGAGTGTTTATAATTCTGTACTTTTCTGTGTCTTGTAATATATAGTCAAAAACAATTATTTTTCTGAATATGAGTATAACATACAAGCGTTATTGCTGATACTGGTAATTAAAAAAGAAAATTACCAATGTAAATTGTAAATAATAGGTAAAAACTAATGAGTTCAATAAATATATATATACACTGAAAAGCCAAAGAAACTGGTATACCTGCCTAATATCGTGTAGGGCCCCTGCAAGCACACAGAAGTGTCGCAACACGACGTGGCATGGATTCGATCACTGTGTGAAGTAGTGCTGGAGCTAATTGACACCATGAACCCTGCAGGGCTGTCCATAAACCAGTGGGAGTTAGAGGAGGTGGGGATATCTTCTGTGCATCACGTTGCAAGGCATCCCAAATATGTTCATGTGTGGGAATGCATCCAAGAGCACTCTTCTGAATTTAGACACTTCCGCTGGCCACCAAAATCCCCAGACATGAACATTATTGAACATATTTGGGATGCCTTGCAACGTGATGTTCAGAAGATATCCCCACCCCCTCTTACTCCCACTGGTTTATGGACAGCCCTGCAGGATTCATGGTGTCAGTTATCTCCAGTACTATTCACACATTGTTCGAATCCATGCCACATCGTGTTGCGACACTTCTGCGTGCTCGCGGGGGCCCTACATATTAGGCAGGTATACCAGTTTTTTTGGCTCTTCAGTGTACATGTACATCAAACTATAATTATCTAAGTTCTTAATAATGAAAATATTTTTATAGGAATTTTAGAATCAACACATTTTTCTAAGCATTGATGAAGTACAACTACAACATGGCAACAATTTTACGTTCTTCGTCTAATAACAAACAGAACTCCAGCTCAAATGCTTTAGGTTTAGATATGGTTTACACTGACAATTCTAAAAATAAATCAGGTATTTTTTTCTTTTCCTTTTTTTTTCTGCTGTTGAACTCTGGATATAAAAATCCATTTTAACTGTATTTTTATTGTAATGAATCTTTTGAATGCTTTTTAGTACATAATACCCCCGTGGCAGAATCATGACAACATTGTAGCAGAATTTTACAGAGTTCTTGCAGAACAAATTTTATTTAAGGAAGTAAAGAATTTTGGTTTTCTTTTCTGCAGAATTTTTTTTCTCGGAAATTATATTTATAAGATGTTTTTTTCAAACATCAGAGGGGAAAGAAATGTTGTTGATTTTTCTATTCTTATTTGAAAAGAATAAAAAATTTCTTTTCCGTGGAAATGTTGAAAGATTTTATTATTATCCAGAAATTATTCTTTTGACAGCCTCATTTTGCACAGATATTCTTTTAATCCATGCGGTATTTAAATCGTTCTTTCGACAGTTATTGCGTCATCCAAAAGCAAAAATTTAAACATCTCAATTTGTTTTGACAGATAATGCCATTTATACTGTACGGAATTTTTGGGATTTAATTAATGAGTATTCGTCCAAGAAATATTACCCATTTTGTTCTGAAAGTAATCTTTCAAATGGAATATTGACTTTTCATGGCTATTTGTAAAAGAACAATTTTAAAATCAATAAACATAAATTTTAATCTGTAGCTTAATATAGAAATACTTTATGAGGCATTTTATATTATATATATATATATGTGTGTGTGTGTTTACATGTACATATATTAAGAACTAATTCTAAGTTTAACCTCGACTAGCTGCATGTTATAGCTAGAATAAAATATTAGTAGTAAACATGAAAACCTTGAATAAAAATCTAAGGAAATGCTAAAAGAGTATTCAAGTGAAAAAAATACTGAGTCTACAGCCTATGATTACCCTCTTTCCCTTGATGAAGCTATCCTGCATTTCAATGCCTTTCATCTTTTTATTATTATTTTTCACTTGTTTATGCTTTTAATGTTTCCTTTGATTTTTAATCAGGTATTTTATCTTATTTTATGTTTGCTTCTAATGTGTATGTGTGTGTGTGTTGAAATTATGTTTCTAATTATTGACTAGTTAATAACTTTCAAATTTCATTCGTATCAGATCATTTTGATTTAGTATTCTGCATTTTATTTAGGACAAACATATCTTCCATCTGAAGCCACACTTTTGTGAGTGAAAATGGTGACTGATGTATATTGTTAGTTTGTATTTCTTATTTTGTATAAGTTGTTTATATTTTCTTTTTTCAAATTAAATTAACCTTCAACTTGAAAAGAGCTGATACCACTACTCATTTTTTTAATAATAGGTTTGTTTTAAACTTGTATTTAATATCAATATTTAATCTTTTTTAACTTTCTAGACAATCTGACTTTTTGGTTCTGAAACCCTATAAATTGCTTTTTTTCTTGTTTGCACCATGTGACATTGTAAGGTTTTTGTCTTGAGTTTGGCTAATATAGCCTCATTTGTTTCTCTTGTTTTTTAACTTTTTGTATCAAACATTGTTTTGAGCACAGTTTAGTTTTGTTACCTTGAGTATGTAATTTTGTAATGATTTTTCTTTGAGTTGAGCACAATATAACAACATTGTTATTTACACTATTGAGCTCTACATTCAATTAGATTTTTAATCAATAGTGTTTTTATTAGAGTTTATCTGATCATATAATCAAGTATAAAAGCACCACAATAGGGGATTTCTCTACCCTTAAACGAAACTGAAAGCATTATGAACAGTGATTGTCCAATCATTGCTTTTAGAGGAATATAGTAGGTGCTTAAAAACATTAATCTCACTTTTGACGAGGAAACATTTTCAGTGAATTTTCTAAAAAAGGCTGAATCAGTTAAGATAGGTTTCCTATTGCTTCATATTTTAAAGCAATATTTCAAGTAAATAATAAGTTTTAGAAATTGCAGCATTTTTAATTTTAAATATTCTTTAATATTTCTGTTAGAATCTGCTGCAAATTAAGTTTATTCTGCAATATTTTATGTTTTCCCATATTTTTGATGATCATACTTTTTGGCTTTAAATAATTATTTGGTAACATTAATCCAAAGGTCATTAAATTCGACGCCATATTGTCTGATTGTAGCAGTAATTAGACTAAAATACTTAATTAACTTACATGTTATTCATTTATCAAATAAATAAATATAATATAAATTCTCACTTAGTATAAAACTTTTTTCTTTAAAAAAATATATACTTTTAAGATTAAATGAATTTTTTGAAGAAATTATTCCATTGTCGAAATCATTAAATGAGTTGAAGGTTAATTGTGATTTATGCCTTTGTTTACAAATGATTTGTTTATTTTGGTTCATAAAATTTTGCTTATTTGTATGTTTGCCCTTCATGATAAATAAAGACTCTTATTTTTAAACAAAATGAAAACTGAATCATTTATTTTGAGTTTTCTTTATTTATTATTTTTCCTTTCCTTTTTTGTTTATATTTATTTGTTGATCATTACAGATAAGGAAATAGTCAAGATAAATTTATGAATAGAATATTCAAAAAGATTAGTTTTAATTATTAGGATAGCTGTTATTCAGGGTGCGTAGAATTTTTAAAAAGTGCTTAAAGGTGCTTATTTTCGATTTTTGTTTTTTAAAAGCCCTTAAAGATGATTTTTTTATTGGGTGTTTTTAAAAAAGTGCTTAATCTTCCCTTTTTCTTAATGAGATTTTTCCTTTACTGTGTTGATTTTCACTTCGAATTATGCAAAATGACACAGTTCACATTGTTCTATTCAACGTTTTCACAATGAATTCAACCACAACCTATTTCGGCGCATTGTCAGTCCGTAGCGTATGAAAACGCCATTCATTTTACCTGATTCAAAATTTCATGTTTTTTTACTATTGTCAAAAACAATACCAAAAGATTTTTTTTGACATAGCAGTTAAAACCGTCAATTGTCAAAAACTTTCCAACCCTGCGTAATTAATGATAAATTTTTAATGTGCTTAAAATATCTTTTGAGTGCCTGAAAAGTGCTTAAAAGGTGCTTATTTTTTGTTGAATAATTTGGCTACGCCCCCTGTTATATTGAATTTCTTTTTTTCTTTAGTGAACTAATGCTTAAGTCAAAATTAAGGTATTTACCAAAATTCCTTTCTCCTCCGTCAGAAATCAGTTGAATGAAATTGTTTAATATATATATTCTTGATGTTTGTCAAGTTGTGCAATCAAAGTTAGTAGGACATAGTTTAAAAAAATATTTCCCTATAAATACATTGATAAGAATATTTATTATCTTATAGCTTAGTTTTAGATTTTTAAACACTCTAGATTTTGAAACATTATAATTAATGTATTACATATAAGATACATTTGTATGAATATGCATACATATGTATAAACTTATATATTATTGTTTTAAAGCTTGTTTACATTAACTCTTCCAGACTTATAAGATAAACATGAAAATGGGAATAAAATGAGAATAGCTCATTTAATCTGGAGCAAATTCCAAATTTATTCATACCATATGAAGAGGAACAAGAGTTTCTTTAATATTCATTAAAAATTTTAACGTGCAAATATTAAAATAGCTAACAATGAATTAAATTGCTTTTTTATTAATATGATTTAATGCATTGGAGATTTTTTGCTTCCTAGTATGAATGCTTATGAATTTTTACTCATCTTAAGCTATTGTTAAGTATAAATAAGTTTCAAGAAACAATCAACATTCTTATTAATTTTTCCTTCTTTTAAAAATATAACTAAAACTTTTTTTACTAGTCTTTTAAATATTAAAAGTTTCAACTGTTTAATAACATCTGATATTTGTTTATATATATATAATATATATATATATATATTGACGACTTAATGTACGGATTTTTATGATTTAATAAATGTATTAATAATAACAAAATTAAAAATATTCTGTTGCAGACACCACAAGACAGTTTTGCAAATACCCTCACAATACGTTACCACCCAGCATTGGAGTTGGAAGGAGATGAAATTAAGACTATTCTCTGTAAATACGGAACTGGAAGTATACAATTAGGATAAATATTATTAAAAATTATTATACATAAATTAAGACTTTTTTTCTTACAGTAGTGCTATTTTACCGTAAATTAAATGATCAAAAGTATAATAATGTTTTAATACACAATATAAATATTATTATAGTTTGCACAATTAGATAAAAATGTTGCGCACTAATTATATATGAAGATCAAGGCGGGGGTGAAGAAATGGCTGATGAAAGCTGATTCCGTGAAAAAGAAATTAAAAAAAAAAAATTCAAGAATTATCAGAAGCAAGAATACAATACAAGTCATTCACAACTTGTTAACCATAATTTACAGAGCCCTAGGTAACAGATGTTCAGAAAATGATGTTACAGAGTTAGTGAACTGTAACTTATTTGTTTGCATTTCTAGTTTTTATCTGTTAATTATCATGTAACAAAATTAATGCAAACATTTTTTCGACGGTAAAATATAGTTTTTTGACTGATTACATGAAAATTTAACTGATTGAAAGAAAACTGATTTCTTACCAGGAGAGCAAACCTGCGTTGAAGTTGAAAGTTGAATTAATTTAAGCAGATATATTTTATTTTCAATATACTCTAAAAACAGCATAATACGTTTAATAAAGAAGTCTAACTTTTATTTGCTTTATTTTTGAATAGAAATTTTGGGAAACAGATATCGCACATCTCTTTGTAAAGTTGAATTTTCAAACCNAGACTAATAGCAAGAAAATATAATTAAAGGTAACATACATTCAAATTGCTCACTGCAATTTTTCTTCTTTGGTTATTTGTTTGTTTTGCTTTGTCTAATTTAGAAATTTATGTAAATCAACACGTTAAACATTAAAATTAACTGAAAACAGAGTTAGTTTCAGTTTTAGAAGTAAAAATCGATTATACGACGTTATCGTTTATACGACGTTTTTCGGTGGTCCCTTCGGCGTCGTATAAACGATGCTCCACTATTTGAAATTAGCGGTTTATCGCTTATGAGCTATAAACCACTGTTTGTGACGTCAGTAGGAAACCTTGGTGATCTCAACGGCCTTATTTCTCGATGGCTATGCCTAAAGTGATCGGATATTTACATACCAAAATGTAATAGTTCGAGTTAAGTATGAAGTTATGTTAGTTATTTGCGAGCACTCGATTGTAAAGAGCAAATATTGCTGTCCCTTCATGCTCCTTTCAATTCAACTATTCTTCCAATTTCAACTACATATAGAAACAACTACATAAGGGGGGAAAAAAGTGCTTTCGTTTTCGTACTGAAATATTTGTTCATGGTAACAAATATGACACACTGAGAAGCTTACATGGATTTAAAAATATAAGAATATATTTGGAATCTATCATAAATTTTATTAGTTGAAGAACAGAATTCGCAAATAGAACTTAGGTTCCATTGCAATATTACAGGATTCGTGTGCCGATTGTTTACAGTAGAGACACTGTAACCGGAACTTTTACGTGAAATTCGGACCAGGAACGCTGTTCCTGGCTGATCAAACAAAAATTCACGGTTTCATCTGACATGGCACTGAAAAACTTTCTTAGTATATTTTAACTCGATCCTTGTTATAACAATTTTAAAAAAATATCTAATAAAAACCTTAATCAGATATTAAACTCACCTAAAATAAATCTTCAAGCAAATCAAATCTACAGAATAAAATTAACGGAGAAAATAATAAATTTCCCAATCAAATTTTTAAAATTTCTTAAGTCGACTGACAAATAGCCTACTGTGTTTTTCATTTACGGCAACTGTCAACAATTAGTTTCATGTGAATTCTGATAAATTTAATTTAGTCAAAAATGTCGCTTTTGTCCAACTCTCCCCTTTTTGAATTGATCATGATAGTTTTTTGATGATCAAAAACTATCAAATGTATTTTGAGGATCAAAAAAACTATTAATTGTATTTTGAGGATGAAAAAACCGTCAATTGTATTTTGAGGATACAAAAAAAACTATTAATTGTATTTTGAGGATAAAAAAAAAACTATTAATTGTATTTTGAGGATCAAATAACTATCAATTGTATTTTGAGGATCAAATAACTATCAATTGTATTTTGAGAATCAAAGAACTATCCCCGAGCAGAAAAAGGAGCGCGTCTGATTTTCTTGATCGGTAATAAAATTTAATTCTTACAAACTTAACGTGAGTAGAAATAAATGCTTTAGTCATAATTAGAACTAGCCGGATATACCGTGAAATGAAATAGCCCATTATTAAAACTCTAGTGAGACCACTAAAATATCGATTATTTTTAATGCCCTTAACGTTAAATCGTGAATAACGTTTCTTACTATAAATACTTACTATAAATGTATTAAAATGTACCAAAAGTTATGGACAGCGATAAATATTGGACACCATAACATCTTGAACAATATCAATATCGATCATAATCAAGTATGAGAATATCGAGATAACTACCAATTACTAGTTTCACGGCTAAATTATTTAATTGATTAAATTACTTTTAACTTATATTTTGCTCGTTTTGAAGAAAGTTTCATTTTCAGTCGCGTAATGAAATTATTCTCCAACGCAAAAATAATGTAAATTGGAATATATCGATATTTTATACAAAAATAAATTCAAAATACGTTGACACAAGGTGGCCGGAAAACAGACAATTTTATCAATCTGTAAAAATTAGGGAAATGTCCAGAAATTTAATTAAAACTTCCAACGAATCGCGGAAAATGAATTAATATGAGGTGCCTAAAAATCCAATATTTTTCTAAAAAAAAATGGTACGAGTTCTGAGATATATTTTCTGATGTCCAGTTTTGATTCAATTTAAATTTATCAATTGGTTTTTGCCTTATTAATGTATTTATATTTATAAAATTCTAATAAAAACAATTATAAGTAACTAAAAAAATTTTTTTTAGTGAAAAATTGATTTAACATTCATGAGTACTTCAAAAATAATTGCCTTCAATGTGAAGAAAAAAGTATTTCATTTATGTTAGCTCGTAACTAATTTTTTTTCAATTTGACTAAAACATTTATATTTATCTATCACGAATATCATAAAATATAAAATGTGTGTATAAAATCTATTTACTGCTATCTATTTGCTTTCCACAAAATCTATTTACTACTATCTGCCTGAATCTTTTCAAGTAATAAGTTTGTATTTTTTTAATAAAAACATTACGAGTATTTTCAACTTCAGTAGCAAGTGAAGATGATTTATAATATATTTTACATACATGAATAAGAACTAAAAAAAAAACTAATACTAAAATTTACGTCATGAACTACAAAAAAAAAAAAAAAATTACATAAATTAAGTTTTTTCTTTCTTCCTGGGTGTTTTGAGCAACCAAGTAACATTTTTACACATACTTTTTTTTTTTAAAGTTTTGGATCGAGAAAAGGTTTTTTTAACGTTTACGTAGCAATGCTTACTCACAGTTGTCTATCCCTGCAACTTCTCTGTGTTTTAATGTCAGATCTGTGTTCAGCTATCAATAACACAAGGGAACAATTTCTTTTTTCAGTCACATAAGATTTTTGAACGGATCTTAAATATTTCCGTCACGCGGATTTCAAATCTGCAATCTGTTTCTCTCTACGAGCTATAGTTTTTATGCAATTTAATGATATATCCCTAACGAGGATTTTTAAAACTTATTGGAGTAAACGCCGAGTGTCCCCACTTCTCTGCAACGTAGGGAGTGGTAGGAAGAAGTCTATAATACATTTCAGTTCATGATGTGATAGGTTAAGGTTCTATGTTTTTTTGCCTAGAAGTGTTATTTTCAAAGGAGCAGACAAGTGTATTTGTATGTGTATAAACCTATAGATTCTTTATAAACTTGTACAGACAGATGAAAAATATCAAATTTTTTTAAAAAAATCAGTAACTTTCCGAACAAATTTAATTTCAGTTTTGAATTCTCCACACCCAAATTAGGTAAGATCAAAGTACTGGTATAAATGCAAAAAATAATTTCCTCCCTAGTTTAATTAATCATTCAGCATAAAAGGTTTATTGAACAAAGAAAAAAAGTTGGAACAAAGCCACTCGGCTATTTTTGTTACTCGATACATTTATTATTTTTTTTTCTTACATAGATTTTTATTTTTAAATCAAGCTGTTTTCAACAATTCCATTATTCAGAATAGCCATTGAAGCATCAGTTAATGTGATTGCGGTGCATTGAATTGCTCGCAGCATTTTGAATTCCGGTTTTTACCGGTCTTACAGAAATACATCCTTTTCATATAAATGGTTTTTAAAACGGAAGTTGAATGTGGATAAATCTAATAATCTGATTAACTTTAATCTTTATCAATGTTCGTAATACCTATTTTTCCTTTTGTTCTGCATAAGAACTCTTACTCGTTTTACTTTTTTTCAATAGTGGAATTTTTCAGCATTTAACTTGATTCAGTAATTTTAGATGGTGGGAAGTTTTTGTTTTCCATTAAAAAACACTGCTATACTGAAGGCAAAAACTTACCTGCAAATTCACCAGTATCTTAGAAAACGATTATTAGGTACTAATTATTAGGTAGTAACAGGAATAACCTTTCTTGCGTTATTCTCAATGAATAAATAAAACATAATGCATAATAAATTCTTGGTAGCTAATAAAAGTATCTTAAATAATAATAAATCTATATCCACTTGATTTAAACTTTAATATAGCACCTCTAAAGCCTTTTTCATACCACTGCAATATAAAAAGTCTAGATAAAAGGGGTTTATATTTCAAAAAATGGATATATAAGGGGGACCGGAAAGTAATGTCGTTTCGGTGCATTTGATATTTGTTATCAAGATTTTATTTTTAAACAATTCACCCTCGTTAGCAACAACCTTTCAATGCCGGGGTGGTATTCTGAACTCGAGTCGACCATCGATTTGAGTTTTTGGATCGAAATGGATTGAAAAAAATGAATTGGTTTTTAAGACTAACGAATAGTGAACACGCCGAAACGACATTGCTTTCCGGTCTCCCTAATATTTATTCTATCTACACTTTCAAAAATATGAGCACATTTTGAACCGTAGTGTGCAACTTACCACAACTGTTAATCTATTAACTCTCGGTTTTTCATACATTGAGGATGGAAGTAAGATAAATATTTCTATTAAGTGAATGATTTTTTATGTTGGCTACAACTTAAGCTTGCCACTTGGCTACCACTAAAAAGAAAAATTTCATGATTATAGATGTAAATTTGGAGCATTATACTGCGTGCATCTTTTCAAAGAAGTATTAGTTGTAGCACAAGAGTTTTATTATTAGTCTGAAATTTTTTAGGTGGTTAATAGCAGAAGGAAATATCGACTTTATTGAAAATCCCTAACTGCTTTTTTTTCGTTGATTCACAGACATCATATACAAACAAAAGCGCATTTCAAGCAATTATTTCTTAACATTAAAATTATTATTATTATTATTTATTAAATTGATGATACCCTACAATTTTCCAATTCTGCCATGTTTTCATTGTCGAAGCCCTAACTATATACGGTTTTCCATCAGGTAGTGCTATGAGCATCACATAGCTTATGAACTTAAGTGTGCACCCTGGATAACTTAAAAACAAAAACGAAACTAAATAGTGCAACTAAAAAGAAACTTCTACAATGACCCTAAGAAACTTTTACAACGACACTAAATCCCTTTCAACACTGATTAAATTCCACGCCGAATTTGATGAAACTTTTTATGTTAATTATAATAGTTCATTATGCCGTACTTATATACGAATAATTCAGATTTTTTCTGTAACTTCTGCATTGCAAATAAGAAAAGTTTTTCCCAGTGTTGGGAAGGATTAATTTGGATGTTAAAGCACTAGAGCTACACTAATAGGCAATTGGCAACTGTTTGAGATACATCTTTAATGATGATCAGAAGACAATACTGGCGTACTTTGCACTACTACAATTAAGAAAGGCGAGTATGTGGAGGTTGTAGTCACCCGACCATTGTTCCCCACTCCTCAAGTTCCCAATCGTACGTGGACTTTTCAGTTTTTAAAACCGCCAAGCAAACTTGATTAAGGATGGATTCCGACCCACTAAAACTTTCTTATTTATATTTATATATCTATATTTTTTTTAACTAATCAGCCTAAAATTTTTCAGGCTTATTATAGTGGCTCAGAAGCCAATAAATTAATCAGAAAATGTATAACTTTTTTGCTCAATTAACCTGTTTATTTCATTCCAATTGAGTAATTATTCGCACATTTCCTAGTTAGCCCAAAAAGTTTGTAAGCTGATTATAATAAGCCTAAAAATATCAGGCAGATAAGAAAATACGGAAGCCTTTTCTAAAGAGCCTAGCGCATAATAAAATTCCAACGACACTTGATGAGAGTTTTTCAAGTAGCTTACATGTATACTATTTCTTACACAATTATTTATAATTGAACTAATTACATAAACGTATTCAGTAATGGTTTTGCAGCTTCGATAATGATGTAAATAAAATGTTACAATTTATTTGTGAATTTCTTGAAAGTTTATTGAAATTAATGAGTAGTAAATAACTAAATTTATATCTTGGAAGTTATAAAAATGAAATTAATGTTGAAATTAACTTAAGAAAGATCACGACTTGTTAGCAATAGTTTGTATAAAGATGAAGTAAACATTCACACATAATTTGCAACAAAACAAAATTTTCGGTGTTGTTCAAACAAATAATATGGTTAATTCGTTACAATCATGTAATCGATGTAAGCAACCAGACATAGTAAAAATAAAACTCGAATGAAGATGAGATCGAGGACCCAATAAGCTTCAAGAAGAAAAGCCTCACATGCGAAAGTCTGGATATTACATCAATAGGTGACTATCTTCGATGAAAGAAAAATGGTGGGACTGTTCCCGGCTATAGTGCTAAGAAGTAAATTTAGGCCTAAAAAATTTTGGGTTTGAAATTTGCTTATTTTTCCCGACAAGGAGAAAAAAAAAGGATAAAGCAAACTTATATAAGACATTAAAACTAAATCATTTTCAACACTTTTCTTAAAACACACAAAAAAAAAAAAAAAGCGTGAGAGAAATTTGGAAAAAAAATTACATTTGAAATACTTCAAATTTGAAGTACCAGTTAAGTTTAGTAAGAGAAAAAAAACAGACAACAGGCGGTCATGGGTTTTAACCGTTGATGGAACGCGAAAAAATTCCTAAAAAATATTTTGACTCTAAAATTTTTTAAATGAATTAAAATAATAATTTTATTTTTCTTAAATCAGATGACTAATTTCAAATAAACGATTAAAAAAATTAGATTACTTCAGTAAAAATCAAAGTAAAGGCAAAACCTGGCAAACATAATAGGGGGTTGTGGTTTACCTACTTTTGCTAATAAGATGAGAGCGAGAGTAAATAGTCACCCAAAACATGCTTGTGTAACATTTGAAAGGCCCTATATAATAATATAAATATTTTTTTTTTTAAGATTTTAAATTTTTATCCCCCCCCCCCCTTATTGAGTATTAGAACACTACAGATGAGATGATTATTTCAGAACTCAAAATACAGTAATTCGTTCCTATTGGAAAAATTTTGAAATTTGTCGTAATAAATCGTGATTTGATCGTAAAAAACTAAACCCTCGAGCGCTTTTTTAACAACTGTTATATTTTGGAAAGCATGGTGCTATCATGCGAAACGTCCTATTTCTCTCCTCTTCCTACCTAGTCACCTTGTTTAACATCACAAGTTGCCTTTTTTTGATCTTATTGTCATCCAATTCGCTTTTCCTGTGTACAAACTCATTCAATCGTTATTGAAAAGCAAAATACTGCGGAATTGAATGCAGTTTATATGCAATCATATTGGACTCTTATCTCTGACCCTTGTCTGATCAAAATCGACGCGTTACTTTAATCAATATAGATTCGAGTCAATTTTAAAAAATACCATGAATAGATACTATATCAAATATTTGCGTTCCTGGTACATATTTTTGTACAATTCTCGATTTATGTTGTATTAGTTTTGTTTTTTATATTTTTTAATTAAGTTCTACGCAATCGTGGCTCTTATATGTGGATTATAGTTATGTTCGTATATGGTAAGTAATTTATAGTTCATCGATTTCTTCCAACAGTTTTTTTATTTTTCTTCTTTTTTGAAATTATATTTAATATATTGGCTTCTATCTCTGGCTCTTGTGTGGTCAAAATTGAAGCGATAGTTTACCGCGATCAGTTTTACATTTGAATTAATTTTAAAAAATAAGAAGAGATACTATATCGAATATAATTGCCTCTCCGATGTATATTATTATTTGTATAAATTTTCTGTTTGAGTATTATTAGTTAAGTTTTTGTTTGTTTAGAGATTAAGTCTTATTTAGTCATAGGCGCTGATATATGAATAATATATTGTAAAAATTGTAGTGTTATATCTCTCCGAATATGATGTAGAACATCCCAAAAGATTGGGCGAAGGTACAGTTTATTCCGGTTTTGCACTAAATCAAGAGTTCGTTTACGATTTAAAGCACTTAATTTAAATCAAAGCACTTAAAATCGAATCATTTTACACCAAACTCTCACAATTTTACTCCATACGAGAATTATTTTTACTTCCAAAAGCACCAATGTTGGCGCGCTTTGAATATCAAAATTCAAGAAACAACAAGTAGAATATCGCGAGTAGAATTGTTTACGATTATGAATGAGCTAGAGAGAGTTTATTTTTGATTTTAACCCTAATATTCATCAAGAAAAAAAATTCGCCGTTAAATAAGTATGTATGTCTTTAGTTGCGTAATAAGGATACTTTTATTTTAAATTTTAATTATCAGAGAACTGTATTAAATGATTTTAAAATGTATAATTTCTATCAATTTCCGTTCTGTTAATTCTAGTTTAAATGCGTCTTAATATTTTCTGTGAGCGACGTGTATGTTTAATTTACAGACTAATTTTATTTGAAGAATTAGCGTTTGCATGATGATTTTTACTTTATATTGGATTGCTAAAATAGCTTTACTGATAGTGTTTATGACGTATATACTCGTTGTGTAAAGCAATAAACTAACATTGATTATGAAAACTCGAAATTTCAATAAAATACAATAGGAATATTATTGGATAGTTTTTTTTTTTAACATTACAAATAGAATTCCTAAATATTTTATATTGCGCGGCTAAATATTTTTAAATTGACACTATTATACATGTAAGCCGCGACTTTGACGACTAGCGTTGATTTACGGAGAAATTGCGTGCCGGTATTGGTCCTTTGCTCTACGTTGCAGAATCCTAGAGTTTCTTGTATTGAATACAAAAATCCGAAGCATTCTCCCTCTTCTACGCTTTCGCTTCGTATTATTCGTATCTTTTGTATTTCATTTGTTAACACGTTTCTAATAAAATAGGAATCTTTTCAGAAATGAGCTGTTAATTTTCTAATCAAATAAAAATGTAATCCTCCCTCGTTTTTCGTAAAATTTATTATAAGACTGTGTATACACATCATTGCTTGATTCTCACCCTGCGGAAAATACGCAAGTAAAGAAAGTACCAATTCATGAAATGTTGATATATTTTCTGCAATTAAAGTATCTTTAGTTTTAAATTAATCATGATCATGTAAAATTTTATTTCATACGTAACTTTCATTCATTCTCACAATTATACGCATGAATAAAGGTACTGATACTTTGTCTTACGTTTATTTATTCGCGTTGTTTTATATTTAGTACACATATATAATTGTTACCAAAAACTAATATTACGGCTAGAAAGTTTTTTTAATTCACAAAAAAAGTATTAACGTATAAATAAATGAAGTATTAGGGACCATTTATAATACGTTTTTTAGTCTTGAAATTAGAGCTCAATCTTAAAAGTTTTGAGCTAATTTTAGCTACATTTACTATTATTCAATTTAACTAGAAGTAAAATAATTAAAAAAAAAAAAGTTATTGCAAAAGTGCTTGCAAAAGTTATGTAGTGCATAAATACTGTTAATACACATTTGTTGACAAATTTTGAGGCTTCATGGAAAACATTAAGATAACTATGATTCCAATTAGGATTATTAAGAGGTCTCTTGATCTTGAATTTTAAATTAATTTTTTTCTTAACAAATTTTTGATTCGACAGCTTTTCGAAAAGAAAGTTATTAGATTACGGGAAAATGCACTTGATAGTTTTTAGGAATTTTATTTTTCTCAAAAGTCTCTCTTAATCATTTTGAATAAATAATTTAGTGCAGTATGTTTGTGTTTAGATTTTGTAAATTTTATTATTCTTTAAATTGACGAATTGCTTTCATTATTCTTTAAATTCCTTTAACACAATTTCCGCAACCACAAAAATATTTATCAAAAATCAAAAAACAAGCAAATGTGTGATATTAAACTACCTTTCCAAATATGCTGAATTGTATTGGTATAAATTTGTCAGAATTTTTTTTTTTAAATTCTAAAATAACTTTGTGTTATACTTGTCTCGGAAGATACTGTCGAGTATAATAAATAAGCAGTGATCTGCATTAGCTTATTTTCAAAAATAAAATAAAGATAATTAAAAGGATTTTTAGATTTTTTCTCTATTCGCCTTTTTCCCTTTCACTCTTTAGTTTAATTGGTGACCGCTTCAGACTTCAAAGTTAAAGAGTGTTATTTTTTCAATGTAGACAGAGGACCGAGGGTATGCGGTATTAGTCCTCGTTAAACTGTTCTACCGTAAAGAGCTCGACTTCGCGTGCAGGTCGTAGAGCTACCGAAGCAGGGGTGCCATCCCCTCTGCAGAGGATCAAAATTGTGATGGCTTGTCTTCGGATCATCCTCAGGGATGCTTCCCAGACCGTCGTAGCCCATTGTGCAGCTCTAGTGCGACGTAAATTAACTACTACTACTACTACTACTCAATGTAGACAGTTAAAAAGAAAGACAAAAAGTTACTAATATTAACTATTTAAAGGCAAATGAAATATTTTTAAAATCTTTCGAATTCTTAGAAACTTTGTTTTACACAACTATTCTATGGTTTCATAATTAATATTGTTTCCATTACAGCTAACCGAAGAAGTGCTGTTGAACGTCTTGAAGAAACCAAAGCCAATTACGTAAAAACCGAAAGAGTTTTAGATTGTAAGCAAAATTTTGAGCACAGTTCAAATTTACGTGTCAGCAGTACAAGACCAGATGTTCTTCTCAAAGGTCGAATCAAAAACTGCCAAAATATTATTAGATACGTTAATACCATCAGCGTGACAGATAATGTGTCTTCTTTTACCAGTGAGCTTGTTCCAAGATCTTCCACCAACCTTGAATCCAGATTTTCTCTTGAAAAAAGGTTAACTACTGCCCTTCAGGTTGATGAACAACCTGTTAAATACGAAAGACCAGAAACAAGTGTTGTTTTTCGTCACGATTCTCATCAAACGCAATATAAACCAACATCACGTGATCGGCAAACTCGATCTCAAACATTTAGTTGTGGTGCTACCTGTTTCAACGTAAATGACAATACCTCCGTTCAAGACGCTTATACTAGTCACTACAGTGTTGAAGATGAAAGAAACTTCAGATATTCACAGCGGACTGAAGAAAGGACTGAACATTCAGATGTCGAGCAGTATTCACTTGAACCATCTGATGATTCAGTCACTGCTGATGAGGATTTGGTAGATTTTGAAGAAAAGAAACAAAGCTCAAGGACTTCAGATTACGTAAGCAGAAGCTCATCATTTAAATGTTCGATTTCATCTGACAGGGTGAAGAATTTGGTGAAGAGTTTTGAATCGAAAATAAGCCACGTTGTCCCATCTCCAATAAACTTAACGACTGTGCAAGAAAAAATAAAACCAGTCACTCGCTCAAAATCAGATGTTGGCTGTCGTCTTTCTAGAAATTTCAGCGTCGCTCCTGAAGCATCAGATAGTGACGAAGAACTTAATAAATTTTTCAACACCATGGGACTTGATAGCATAGTTTTTCATAATCTAACAGCCCCACCAAAAAGTCCAGTTCTTTTTTTCGACAGTGTAAGCTCAGTGAATAGTGATGATCATTTATCTAGTGCAGAAAGTGAGGACTCAGCTTTAGAAGTTCAGAGAGAAGGTTTAACAAACAGTGACCTACGTAAACATGGACCAACTGAAACATCTATTGTTGAAAAAAATGCCAGAGTTGTGAAGTGGCTTTATAACTGCAATAATGCTTTTAAAAAATCTGCAAATTATGATGGGTAAGTATACAATATTTAAATTCCATAATTGTAGTAAAACTTAAACCAAAGCTGTTTGCACCTCGGAAGCTGACAGTAAAACTATTTTTATCTTGTTTAAGGGAAGAGTAAAAGAACTCTGACTACCAATACTTATTAATAACTATAACTGTACAGTGCGCAAAAAAAGTCATCTATTGGAATAACTTTTGTTCTAATGATCGGATTTTCGCGAACTAAAGGTCAATCCTAATGGTTCCCGAGGTTGACCTCAAATTTGCTAATTAATTAGTGCTAATTATTAATTAAGTTACTAAATCAGACACAAAAACGTACTTTCTTTGAATAAAAATATACACATTTTTTTTACATATTTGGATTTCTGACGCTTAAAATATGGGGTTAGACTCGGAAAGTTTGAGACTTTTATTGTTAATTTCACTTTTTTTACGTTACAAACTAACTGCGCAATTTTTAAAAAAAATTCACTTAACCCTGATACTCGTTTATCCAACGATAATATCATGCGAAAAGTAATTTTTAATAATTATTTGTTATTCTTTATTATTTAATTTAATAATGGAGGAAATTATGAGCCATAAATGTTTTTTACCATATTAATCTACGAATTTTTCTATCATAAATTCTAAAGTTTCTATTTTTTTAAGTAGATGCCAAAAAAAGTAAAATTAATTATATTTAAAAAAATAATTTAGCAACAATGAAACCATAGCTACAATAATTTATCGACATATTTTAATAAATGTTTCGTAAGTATTTTGCTTAATTTCGTTAGTATCCAAGTTTTACATTTATATTTTAAAAAATAAATCTTAATTTAACCAAGATTAATTATCAAAATTTTATTTCTATATGATTTTTTTTAAATTTCCATTTTTGATCTTATTTTATTATTGAAACAAAAATAAATTCTTTTCAAAAACTTTTTGAATATTTTAACTCTAATATACACGCAGATTTGAAACATGTAATAAAAACTTTTCAATTTTTTAACCTATTTTGATTAAAAAAATTACGCAGCTCGAGTTTTAACATACTTTTTACCGAAATCATGAATATGAATACAAGAATGCTATTAATCCGAGAAATTTTCTCAATAATAATAATAAGCGGCATCAAGGATAATGATATGCGTCAGAAGCCCCGTTTACTACTATATTATGAATGCATTAAATCATATAGCTTGAATAGTTTTCAGAAAATAAGAAAAAAATTAAGGGTGTAAAAATAAACGCCCAAAGTATACCCTAAAATATATCTGGTATAAATTTTGGAATTGATAAGTAAAAAATACATTTCAAGCAATTATGAGTAGGACGGAGACGTTAACTTGTTTAAAATGATTGTTCATGTAATTATTTAAATTTGATTCCTGGGAATAGGGGACATTCCATAGTCTCATTCAACTTTTGAAATTTCAATTTTAAACATAATTTTTTGACGTCTTCAAAAAATGTTTTAATGGCTAGTTGCAAGAAAAAAGAAAAATTGTACTACATTAATTTTTTAGAAAATTGTTTACTGCTTTACTAAATAAATAATTCCGAGAAACTGAAGCGGAAAGATAAGAACCCCATTGACTTCAAAAAAATATGAAGATGGTAATAAAAGGAGACATGAATTCACGCAGTAGTTATTCACGCTTAGTGTGTCTTAAGAATGAGCGCCCATTTTTGAGTGCTCAAATCACGTCGACTTTTATTTCCATATTCATATTTTTTTGAAGCCGATTAAGTTTTTATCATAAGTGATACTATGTTACATTTGGTATTTTGGTAAGAATTTTATGCTCGTAGAAGTAAACATCTGTATTTTAATATTTTAACAGTTTCATGTAGTTCTTAAAAAAGTAAGAGAATCGTAGCATCAATATTGTAACTATGAAATCATCTTTAAATTTAAAATTTTGTAACCAGATATTTTGAGTGAATGAAATTGAACATTGTGATGAATGTAAACAGAACAAAATACATTTTAATTCCTTAGTTTTGCAGCTACCTTTTCAGTATCTTACAGATCTTACGAAGTCTGTTTAAAACAAGAATATCGCATCAATATATAGTGTTGGTGAAAATCGTAAAGCAAATTTGTAAATTAAGGGGGAAAAAAACAAAGGAATCATAGTAGCAATATTTGGTGATAAATGTAGCTGATCGTAATTCAAAACCATCTTGAGTAACATTTTATGGTAAATTTGCGAAAATAAGTTTTAGAATGTTAATTTTTATAAATTGTTAATTTATTGTGGCAATCAGAGCCGTGGTGACTCAGGGGTTAGGGCGCTCGCTTCCCAATGAGGTGAACCGGGTTCGAATCCCAGCGATGGTTAGTCGATACGATTCCACACCCGGCTCTTGCCGACAACAGTGCTGACGTAAAATATCCTCAGTGGTAGACGGATCATGGGTTAGAGTCCCCTTACCGTCAAGCTAACCGTGAGAGGTTTTCGTGCCTTTCCTCTCAATACAACTCAAGTGCGGGTTAATTCCACCAAGCATTCCTCCATGAAGTCAAAATTTCTCTCAATACTTAATACTGGAGTCCCCTTGCCTTCCGGATCGGGTTCAAAATTACAAGGCTATGGATTTGAACATTTTTGGTCGTGAACTCAAAATTGAGTATTTTGTTCAACGACGGTTATAAAATAAAAATATTGTGGCAGTCAAGAAAATTATTTATTTCTCAAAACAAGTGGAGAATAAATGTTTTATCACCAGGTTCCTTTTTTTAAATCGTATAGAGTTGCCTGAAAACCATTTCATAAAATTCTCGAAGTGATAAGGGTTTATTATTCCTTTTACAACATGCATTCTTTTTGTCACCATATTTCTATACAACTATAAATTTAGTTCATTCGAAGTGGCCATTTTAGTGTTGTAAAACCGCAGCTGACAATATTTTCTTATTATCGGTTATTGCCTTGCCTATTTATTGCATAGCTCTTTTTTTTTTGTTGAAGGTACATGGTAATAGTAGCCGATCACTGGTATAGTGGTTATTGTACTGGACTACGGGACCACTGGTTGTAGGTTCGAATCCCGCCGTAGGCATAAATGTAACTTTCTCTCTCTGTGTTCTGTGTCCTTTCTTCTGTGTTATTGTGTGAATGTAAACCACCCTATAAACGGGTTTGTGATTGCGCGACGCTACTCCACCACGGTGGTTTAGCCACAGATGCCCACTGGGTATAACGAAAAGAGAGTAACAATTTTGGCATTTGTGAGGCTAATGGGAAATAGACCCAAGTGCTCGCCATTAAAAAAATAAATATGGTAGTAGGTACATTTATTTTCGTTGTTTGCATTTATCAAGCGGAAACATACCATTCACAAACTCTCGAATATACACTCTATAACAAAAAAAAATCGACGCACCAAGAAGAAGTTGTCCGATTGAAACGAAAATCTGCGGATAGGAAGACAAGGTACAGAATAGTAAATGATTAAAATTTCAGAACAATTGAATAATTTATTGCAGAGTTACAGTAACAAGTTTAATAAGGTGTTGACCCGCCTCTAGCCTGGATACAAGCTGATTCGAATTCAACAATAATTACACAAATTGTAATAATAAAAAGGATTTTATTTCATTGTGGTTCAGTGGTTAAATCCAAACTGAAACTTAAGAAGTGAAGAAAAAATAATAAGAAAATTGTTTGCGCTCAGCGCCATCTGTTATCATAAATCCTCAACACTCCCCACTTGAACTCCTCCGAGTTCACTAAAATTTTAAACATAAAAATTAGACAAAAATAACATAAACATATTAAAAAAAAA